ATTTCCTGTCCAAGGAAAATGTTGGTGAAATAACTGAAATATTTATGACCGCGGGCGTGGACCTGAAGATAGCAAACCCCGGTGCGTTCTCATGGGGGTTGATCTTGCACACCCTTAGAGAGCTAGCACTTAGCGATAAGGACGCTCGCGAACTGGAGCAGTTTCACAGCGCGGTCGATTCTTTTCAGTCCAACACACCCCACTCGAGTTCTGGGCGGGCTTCCGAGCAGTCATTGTACGAGGAGGTGATTGATTCTGCCCAGACCCCCAAATTTACAACCGACGAATCTATTGCCCTCTTGACTACCGATGAAATGAAGGCCACGGTGTTTGATACCATCATTGCCTTGGCCACGAAAGTCACCTCTACTTCGGCCGTCGATGATGCGTTGCTAAATTCGTGGTCCCGGGTGGTGCTCTTGGATCTCATTCGGGTCGCTGTCATCTATCTGGATTATAGCCCTGAGATAGTCCAGTCCGTTTTGGCCATCCTTGCTGGACCACAGTCGGGATCCTCATGGCCGTTGAACACGTTGTCTGCTGTCTCTACTGACCCCCGAACGATTTTCCTGAAGGACGATCTTCTTATGGATAACATCTTCAGACTGGCGCGCTCGCGGTTCCCATATGAAATGGTACCTTTTTTGAAAATCTGCCGAGCCCTAATTAGCAGTCATTCGGTTAATGAAGAAGGTGTCCCCGTCATTCTCGACGAGATGGAAAATATGGAAACATTCACGCAGTCTGTACCTCTCGATTTCCATGGCTATGACACAATCCGCGAAGACGAAAATGCCAACTTCGTCACTTTGATCAAGTCCCTTCCGATGATGGAGTCGGCCCCTAGACGACAAACGCCGGATAATAAACCAGGCAATGCTCTGATTGTCACAGGCTCCTCGGAAATTCCCGCGGCGGCTGTTGGCCAGGTTGTCTCCGAGTCAAGGCCTGCCGTCATCATGTGGCAACATCAGTACTCTTGCCTCAGTTATCTTGGGAGCTGGTTGGAAGAATGGAATGAAAGTGGCGGCTATTCGGCTGGCTGGGGAGAGGATTGTATTGCAGATATTATCGGACTCTTCGCGGATCTTCTTGTTGGCGCCAAGAACGCGCAATCGCCGGATGGCGATGGCTCCGGAGCCAAGAGGATATTGGAGCTGGCAAGCGATGGGTTGTCACGGCAAAGCGACGTCATTTCTGTCATTTTTGAGATCCTCGAGCACAATCTCTCCAATATCGGCCCCAGAGCGGGCTCAGATATCATTCTGGACTGCACAGTTGCTTGCTTGCGGTTTGTTTCTGCGCTCCTTGGCGTCCTTCCAGGCAGAGTCTGGCCGTTACTTTCCCGGAGTAGCTTGCTTGGCTCTGACGGGAAGGGAGGTATAATGACTACAGTCATTTCAGCACTCGAGGTGACGTCGGGAGATTACCCGTTCCTTCTTGAATGTGTCCGGTTCTTTGAAGCGGTTGTTGATGATGCAGCTTCCCGAGCTGTCGTGAGGAGAAGCCCTCATGCGCTCAACGGAAAAGCCCTAGCTATGTCGGATTGGACCGCGGGAATGCCCTCGCGTATGATGCGAACAATATTGGTGAATTTCGTTCGGATAATGGTCGAAGTTTACAACAGCAACGGCAATTGGCGATTCAATGCCCTGGAGCAGAAGATTGAGATCAACACCGTGCTTGCAAGTTCCTTTGAAAGGATACTTTGTTACACGTACGGGACGGGCGATATAACGAAGCTCGATACGAAAGTGACGGGCGTGTTCTCATCATCGGCGGAATACATCCTAGATGTTTTGAGGCCGCAGTCTGCTGCAGACTTGCCCTTCAATCCCATCCTTCGACTCATTGTCGAGGGCCTCCATACCCCTCCCACGTTGTATCTTCGATTCTTGGCACTGATAACGAAGCAAACGAAGTCGACGTTAGCACTTGCAACCCGACTTCTACAGTCCGCCCAGCTCCTGGAAACCTCGCACTCCCTGCTGGAGGTTCAGCTGTTCAAAGCAACTCCAGTCCTCGTAAAATTGTACGCTTTACATGATGCTTATCGGCTACCAACCTTATCTCTTCTCAACACTCTCATCTCTGGGGCTGCTCAAAATCCTACAGATGAGCCGCCTTCTTTGGTTGGCCATCTGGGGGCTGAATCGTCCTGTCTCTTCCTTGATGTCCTGTCGCAATTTGATAGACCGTTTGGCGACCGCGGCCTTCATCTGGCCGGGTGGCATTTGCTGTCAACGATTGTCAGCAAGCGGCAGCAGTGGCTGGCAGTCTACATCCTCACGGGGTCGTCCCCTCGCCATATGTTGAAGAAGGACGGCGCGGGCAAATCTCCAGCTATGAGAGGCACACCTTTCTTGCGCATTGCCCTGGACCAACTTTCCAATATCGAGCACATTGATCCCCAAGTCGCCGTGGCGCTTCTCGAGTTCGTGTCTCATGCGCAGGAGAATTGGCCGTGGGCGACCTCGGAGCTGAAGAACCATCCACAGTTCTTTACCAGTATTGTGAATTATGTGTCAAAACTCAAGCTGTCCTCTTTGGCCGTGGAGGAGCAAATCTTCCGCACCCGCATTGCAGCAGTGGTCGCCGATCTTTGCACGGTTTACCTGCACTCGGCCAAGGAGATGCATGATCGCTCATTCTATAAAACATTGATCCCGCTGGTTTCTTGGTACGCCAAGGGAGCAGTTGAGGTGCCCGGATACAATGGTTCTCTGCATGCGAACCTGAAAAGAAACTTTGAGTCGAGATACTCTGGTAGTGCGCTGACCGAATTCAAGAGAACGCCCTTGCAATCTCGCTCGCTGGGACGGGATTACTGCTATGATTTGCACGTAGGATCAAAGTTGTTATCTTACGATGTGGCATGGGCAGGAAAACGAGACCAGGGATTCGCAGGAGAATTCGAGCGGGCCAATATCAACCTGTCTTTGGTTGAGGCCCAGGTGGTACGTATGAGCATCACTGGTATACAAACAATGTCTAACAATCATGTTCTCTCTACAGAGTCTTCTCAATAGCTGGAAGTTTTTCGCAGTTGAACACTGCGCGGACTTCATGGCGGATCGTGAAGTACAAAAATCGATGGCCAACGTCGTGCAATGCTGCCTGACAGCCAACACCAAGGGCGTCCCACAGGAGGCAATCTTCGAGCGGATCCAACAGAGCCGAGTGGATTTTGCACAGGTTCTTCTCCAACGATTGGTGGAGACCGGGGCGCGAGGTGCGGAGGTGTTTGGCTTGCTCTCGGTCGCGTGGGATGCATTGCGCACTCGGCGCGCCACATATGAAGAGGCCCTGGTGAACGACGACACCGAGTATTACCGATCTCTTCTCAACGTCCTGTTTTTGTCTCTCCAGTTCCATCTCAATACCCCCTCACGATCTGCCCCCGAAACCCTGACCAAGAAGGCGGAGGTATCGTCCGATCTTAGCGTGGTCGTCGAAGCCGTGAAGACCGTGGTTGCCCAAGGGTTCAAGACCCTGACTGCGTACCTGCACGACCAGCCCGACAAATGTACACCAAAAGACTTCGCCATCCTGACAGCCATCCTGCAGAGCGCACTGCAAGTGAAGAACGTGGACCGGCTTTACGAGCACATGGCGTACCACATCGCCGAGAACGACGTCGTGCGCCACGCCACATCCCTATTCTCGTGGGCCGACCAGCTCGCAGTTGCAGGCGACCCCGTGTACGGCGAGCTCAGCGTTGCATTCCTCGTCAAGCTGTCAACGATCCCCATCCTGGCCGAGCACCTCGCCGTGGAAGTGGTCCTCATCCGACTCTCGACCAGCCGACTGGCCGATATGTTCCGACAGCCCAAAGGCTTCGGACCCTTCGACCCCGTTCCCCGCATGTACACGATCTGGACGCAAGGCTTCCTCCCCCTCTGTCTCAACCTCCTGTACCACGTCATCCGCATGGCCCCGGAGGTCGCAGCCTTCCTCAACCAATTCGAAGGCCAGCTAGCGCGCGCCGCCGATTCCTTTGCAGCAGGCCGCACGGCCACCACGGGGCCCTCCGCCCGGCGGATCTCCCTGAGCATGGCGTCGGAAGTGTACTCCCTCGCACTCATCTCCTTCATCCTCGGGCAATTCCGCGAAGCGGGCGCCAGCCTCGGTGTGGACGCGCAGGCGATCCAGGAACTAAAATGGGACAAGGCGCAAGTGAAGGAGGACATCGAAGAGTTGCTCGAGCGGAAGCAGACCCTGCGGGTTCGCATCGGCGCCACCAACGAGAAGGAACTCGAATTGACGCGGCAGAAGCCCGTCGATCCCTCGTCTGGGGCGGAGGACCGGCTCGAGGAGAAGATCATGGGCCAGTTGAAGGCGACGTTGGTCTGTCTTGGCGGGGAGGAGACGTCATGATTGGATTGATTTGATTTGACACTGCAATTAGCATGTCGGGTTCATTTGTACCATTGCCGTCGTCGTTGTTCTAGCTTAGATTTACGCATGTTTACGGTGGGACCGTCGTCCTGATAGCAGAGGATGGGGAGTAGGATATCGGCGGTGGTGAATATATTTCTTTTTCCTTGTGTTCCATGCTTTCTTTGCAGACAGTTTTTCTTGGCCGATGAGATCAGGGATTCCGCACTCGCGTAGACTAGGTACCACCGGGGTTCTACCTCTTAGAAGGGAATAACTGTTTAGGTGAGATCTCTGTTCCATATACACTTCTCTTCTTTTTGATCTAGTACATGTAGGATGTCGTCCTCTCAGCCGTACCTAAGCTACACTTTCGATACAGACAATCCTCAATGGGTTCTCAAACAATATTGAGCTCAGATGATATTAGGTGTACATGCTATGTTTACACTATCGGATCCATGCATTGCACAACAGCGACTTAACAAAGATGAGATCATGGTATATTTTCTCAAAAATTCATGCGACGTATGAGAATGGTCATGACTATTGTAACACGTTGCAAATCTGCAGGATTCTGAACAGTCTTTGGACTTAGTGAGAACCCATCATGGCTTATGGTATCAACGAGCCGGCTTGTCACTCGGAATGCCCTTATCGCCCTCGCAAGGCACAGCACACCTACAGCTGATCAGCAGATGCGATCCGTCAAGAATCGAAGGAGAACTCACGTAAACCCAAACACCATACCGCCCTTGTGGAATTGATCCAGAACACCACCCTGGCACAGTCCAACACCATCTGGTGAGGAGCTACCTTGATACACGGACTGCCAAGTGTTCAGCACAAGTTCATATCCGTCCCGGTAGAAAGTGATTTGAGGATTGCACATCCCCTCTCCCCCGCAGCCTTCAGCCCCTTCGATATCTTCGTTCACCTTATCACTATCCCTGGCAGTGAAGACGATGCTGTATTTACCAATGCCTCTGTATGATCATATATCAGCTCTGAAAACCATATGCCTGTCGTTAGGTCAGGAAGACTCACGGGTCAGTAAAGTACTGCTTTCCAGAAATCTTCTTTTCATCATCCCACCAGCAGACGTTCCAGTCTCCGTCATGCTTGGTTGTGTCCGTCCCAGCACCTGCCCGGGAATCAGGGGTGGTGTCTACATTGCAATTTCCCTGGAACTGTCAGCATTTCTACCAAGGTCCCTGGTGATGCTGGGCTCTTACCCCTCCTTGAGTGGTAATGGACATCCGACAGTTTCCCGAACCCTCGCTCTACACCCGTTAGTGACTGATGTAAGGTTTGGACATTGACCTTCAGGAGACATACAAAAGGCAGGCTGTCGTCGAATTTCATGTTCACCACCTGCGCCGCCGAGTTCCCGGCAGCCCCAGTCATGGCCATTCCAATAATAATGGCAATGGGGTTTCTCTTGTCGATTTCGCTTTTTCCCACCAGAAGATCATTCGAAGGAATCCCCAATGCGGACGTAGCCGCGACGCAGAGCAAGGGCAAAAGGAAGGATTTCATCATGATGGCACAGAAACGACTTCGTGTTGGTCAGTGAATAAGTTTCTGGGCTCCTTAGAGGACTTGATGTGTTCGGTTCTTCTCTTCCATGGATGGGCTGGCAGCTGCCTTTTTATAGACGATTGATTCTATGCCAAAGGAATACTGACTCGCCTGCTTACACAAACACAGCCTCGCACACACGAGCGGTGCGTCGTGCAGGATCTATGCGATCTGCACCTGTCTCGTGTTGGTGCAAGATCGGGTACTAGGGCTGCCTATGCCCACAATATACTGCATGTCCTATGTCTGGTTAGCTTGGCGTCAAACATCTGAGGAAACTTATCGTGAGGAGCCATACAAGCTAGAAATAGTTCCTGCCAAGAGAGCCAATGATCTGCGTCTGACATTGGAATTCCCCTCATTCTGAGAGGGTGGGACATGCTTAGCTTGTCATTGAGACATGGGGTCACCTGCTTAATACGGTAATATTTGTGGGATATAGAATGTGTATGGTCGTCTATATTACCTGATGACGACAGAAGATGCAGCATCGCCCCCAATGCCGAGGGATTCATGCAAAGCCTCGCGGGATGGGGCGTAGCGATCGCCAGCGTCGTCCACTGAGAGGGACCCAACTGACTACTAGGTCCTGACTGCATACAACCTGCCACCGCGGCACCGCCCCATCAATCAACTAGTGGTACGATGGGTGGCCGCCTGTAGTTTCATATTATGAACACACTGTTGTATGTGTCTGTTTTGGCATATCCGATATGTGTTGAGTCGCGCATTTGCCGTTTCTCCCTTGATGACGGTTCTCTGGGCTACCGGAAGCATCTGGTTTTTCACTGGATGGGATCGTATAGCGGGTCAAACGAGCGTGGGGTCCAATATTGGGTGAGATCATTGGTTCGAAATCGAAATGCTGAGGATTTCTCTAGATGGCGCTACGGCTCCTAATTATATACTAGTCCAGTGCGGATCTGCTTTTCCACCCGATTGATTGGCCATGCCTGCCTAGGTTGTTTTGCACAGCTTTCTCCATGTTGGGCGGCGAGGTGGCTCTGAGCAAACCTCGTTACTGCGTTTGGTGGATCAAGCGTATATGATACTGTCTATTAGCTCGTCATATACCGAAGGGTCCCTCGTGGACACTTCAAAGAATCATGGACCGGGGAGGGACCAATTGATGTCGAACTCGAATATCCAACGGACGCTCATCAGAATGCCCTGGTACAACAACAGCACTCTTCAGCAGTACTCTGGGATGAACAACGGGCCATGGTAATGCACTCCACTTCACTTCATTGATTAGAACTTGTAAGCGCAAGCAGCACAGATTAGTCTATTAGAGAATGTCGTTCACAGACACCACTCGAGTACCTAGTTTATTTGGAAGTGATAAGTCTACGTAAAAGTATGTATCAGTATGTATCCTCCAATTCTGAGAAATGGGGATAATGCAGGTATGTGTTTGTCTTCCATGCACTTTAGGAAAGGGAACTACTATCTGAGACATGTTAGACATTAACATGGAATCTAACTGAAGATAGCTTGGCTCCGGTCTAGGCGCGTCTGTCTTGCAGAAACTTGTGTATTTCATCACTTTGTAGCACCTGATGAAGAGTCATTGAGTGCCTGTACAAATGTTCGCCCCGAGAACAATCTGCCCCTCCTGAGAGACCCGTCGAACAGGATCACCTTAAATTTCAAGCTGGTGGGTGTAGCTCTCTACTCTTGTCTCTTGAGACATCTGGGAACTCTGCTCTATGTTCATATTCAGGCTCGATGAATTTGATTACCCTGCTTGGCAAAGAGTTGATATGCGGTTAGGCAATCGTGTGTTAACCTAATTGCGGACTCACATTATCAGACTTGAAGCCCGCTGCGAAGGTGGATTTGTGGCTACAGGCTAATATATGAGATAAATAAGCTGGAAAATAGTATAAGAAAAACTTTGATAAATTCTGTATTCTTATCTTTACGCATGCTAAGAGATGCTTGATTAATATACTCTAATTATGTCCTACATATCGTAGCTAATAATTTTGAATGGAAAACGCCTGTTTAAGGGGTTGGGAATAGCTTCAAGTCCTTTTAGCATGGTTATTAGGATCCAAAAGGGTGAGCGGGTCAGTTGGGACGTACGTTAGCCCCCGTTTCGCAGGCCATGAGTGGCTCTAATCAACGATCTTGACAACAATCTTTCCTCTCGCGCGGCCCGTCCTCAACTTAGCGAATGCATCGGGTGCCTTGTCAAAAGGGAAAACCTCATCTAGAGGGACCTTGACCTTGCCCTCAGCGACCCAGCGAACCAGGAGATCAAGCTCCCCCGGGGTGTCCTTGGTCGTCGGCAGGCTGATCTTGCGCCCGCCGCCGCCCAAGATGGAGGGGACCAGGAGGCGGCCCATCACGCTCCGAATGCCGGCGAGGCTCATGGCGGCGCCAATCTGCATGAAGCGCCCGGTGGGCTTCAGGTAGGCGTCGGCGGCGGTGTAGAGGTCGGCGGGTGAGGAGCCGACGGTGTCGAAGACGAGGCTAAACACCGGACCCTTGGAGCGGAGGACGGCCGAGACGTCGTCCTTGGTATAGTCGATGACCTCGTCGGCGCCGAGGCTGCGGCAAAAGTCGGCGTTGCGGCCTGAGCAGCTGGTGGTGACGTGACAGCCCAGGACCTTGGCGATCTGGATACCGAAGACGCCGGTGCCACCGCTGCCGCCGTTGACAAAGACCTTGTCGCCGGACTGGACGTACGGGGCGATGCACTGGTATGAGGTCTGCGCCGCCACGCTGAGGCCGCTGCCGGCCTCGAAGCTCACGCTCTCCGGCAGCTCGGCGACCATGGCGTCCTTGGAGGTCACAGCCATGTACTCGCCCAGCGCGCCCCAGCTGGTTGGGGCCACCCTGCCGAAAACGCGCTGGCCAACGCGGAAATTGCTGACCTGCGCTCCAACGGCCGCAACCGTGCCAGAGAAGTCCAACAGTGGCGTCGCCGGCACGGGAATGATGCGGCGGGCGATGAAGCCCGGGAGCTCGGGAAACTTGTAATCAGCTGGGTTGAGCGAGGCGGCGTAGACCTTGACCAGAATGCTGTCATTGCCCAGTCCGCTGGGCGGAAGCGGGAGCGACAGCTCCTTCAGCTGGATGGCGTTCTCGATGGTCGTCGCGACCGAGCTGTATTGCCATGCTCGCATCACCTTGGGAACGTTGGTGGCGGCCATGTTGCGCTCAAACAAGACTCAGGAAGACGTTGCAGCTGTCTGTTTGCTTTCCACGTGGGATGGACTGGACTCCAAGGTGTTTTTATACCTTCGTAGGACGGACGTCCTGGCAGTCCAGGTCTCTTGGAGGCGGGGGAGGGGGGGGGGACCCTAAACAGCTTATCAATCAATGCTCACCTAAATTAATAGCGTTACTTGGCCGGACATATGCATAGTAGGCTACCTGGCCTGCACCCAGCATATCAGTGCCTGACTTCGGAAGAAAGCACGTAATACATGTCTTATCACTTTACCCTGGTTATATCAGATAAACTGTAAGTCACTGGAAAGGAATCCACAGGCAATAAGAGAGTTACTAGCTACGGATAACGGTAACTTTTTCTTCCCTTCTCCTTTCCTGACCTCTCTTACTTTCTCTCCTATCTTCCCATTTCTATCTCATCGCTCTCCTTGGGATACCAGGCATATCAAGCCTGACCCAAATGCCGATTCGGTATCTTGATGCAGTGGCTGTCATCGTCCGTTCTTCCCCCTACAGATAGATATAGCGAGATATGCTAACAGAGAAGATAATGGCGCGACAAGCCCCAGAGCCCCGAGCCTCCCATGGGCTTTCGTGGAAGCAGAATTAGCAACAATACGCCATGCCAATACTTCAGTTTTCCTAGACTCATCTTTTTTTCGACCGCGGCTGCTATGGGCACTGACTTTCATGAATACTTGGCAGCATCGACTTTGCGGCCCTCAGCTACTGCACCTGTGGGGAAAAGCTTCACCCGTCGATTTATCGACCTTTTGCAAGCTACTGACAAGACCGAAGTAACAGTAGCCCAAATCCACGCCAAACTGGCGAAGGAGGCCAACCAATACGACAGCAAACTGTTCTATACCCCTATCCACATCGCAAGCGCCGAAAAGCCGACCATCACCCTCCGGCCTCTCTACAGAGGACCAAGAGAAGTTTACAGCTCCGGAAAGAATATGCGAGCTGGCGGACGGAAAAGTACTAATCTCAATCCTTCGCGAGGGGAAGACGTCGATACCAGACCTTGATGGGTGGAAAAGATGGCTAGCGTCATCAATCCCAGAGGCGGTTGCGGACATGAAGGTAGAGGCTGTCCTTGAGTCTAAATCCAATTCCAGCCCCTGTCTGGAGACCATTCCCGTGGCAGTGTGGGACATTGCTGAAGCGGAGCGAGGCACACAGTTTCGTCGCCTATGTAGAGTCCCACAACCTCCTCCTCGGCCAACCAAACCTCTCAAACACTGTGGAAAGTAGGGCGGACAACTTGCAGCTTCCTGCAAGGGAGAAGTGAGGAGAAAGGTCCTTTTCTTTTGCTTTTTCTAAGAATGATATTGATAGTGATAATTGTGGGAGGACCGATGAGAACGGTCAAAATATTGATGATATTGATGAATCTCAAAGCTATGGAGAGATTGCGAACAGTTGCAGGATTGCAAGCAAAACATGAAGAGTCAACAAACAGTCTGTAGTGCTAAGGAAGCAATCGCCATACAAAAGAGCGCGATAGCACTGGGTATTGGGGAGGAGCAGCCGATTCCTATTTACACAGACAGCGAGTCATCGATGAAGAACATTGCAAAGCGAGGGTATTCGCAGGTAACCAAGTGGATTGACAACCGCTATCTAGGAACCAAGGACCTCTATCGCAAGGAAGTCATCAAACTGATGCATATCGACGGTAAAGCGAACCCCGCGGACGGACTCACTAAGCCGCTGAAAAACGGCGATTTCCACGCGTTTCGGACGATGATACGCGTCATGAAGATGGAAAAGGATTGAATTTGATGAAAAACACCATATTTCGATGGAATTGACCAGATTGCACTGAAGGAAAGGAATCACGAACGAGGGGCCGTGTTGAAAGGATCGTTCGTTTGTTGGTTCACGTGACGTAGCTTAGGTATAAGCGAGATCATCATCGCTTTCCTCTCATAGAAATCAACGATCTTTACCATCTCATCTTCATCAGAAACTCTATAGGTCGGTTGAAGTCGGCCGATTGCATGTCTCACAATTCGACAATAATTAGAGGGGGGGGAAAAAAAGGAGATAAAACTTAGTATCAATGATTTCTATAGCTGATAAAAGACACTCATGAAACATATCTAAACATATCTTCCAACTCATCTATCAACCCAATATACAAGCATATATACATACAGAACCCACCTACGAGGAAGAGCAGCACGAATCCCAGAACTTGGAAACCGCCCCCCAGTACCTCTGCGGATCGTGGCGCAGATGCGCCACATGTCCCGAGCCGCTGAACTTCTCGAGGACGACCTTTCTGTAGCCCTGGACTTCAGAGGCCTCGCGGGCATGCTCCTCGACATCGAGGTGGCCGATGAGCGGGTCGGAGTCGGAGTAGATGTAGAGCCTTGCGCTGTTGGTGGGGATGCGGTCTGGGGAGTTGACGACGCGGCGGCCTCGCGCGGAGAGGCCTTCCAGGCCGAGAAGGGCGGGCAGACCCATGAGCAGGACGACGACGGCCGCGGCGGTGAGTTTGGCGAGCGGCTTGGGCAGGAAGGCGAACCCGATGGCGATGCCGGCGACCCAGCGCGGGAATTCGCGGCGGAAGGAGGCCCCGCCGGGAGTGGAGTCCAGGATTAGGCCGTGGAGGGGGATTGGCCCTGGTTTGTTGCCGGAGGCGTCCTGCATGGCGTGCCATGTGGAGGAGACGGCCTCGAGGTTGAGGCCGCCGCTGTTGGAGAAGGCGTGCATGAGAATCCGGGGCTGTTTTTGGGTGTTTCTTGCGGAGAGAGAGTCTCCTTCTTCTTTGGACCCGTCGACTGCGGACGAATACGAGTGGATGGTCTCGGTGTTGCCGTCGTTGTAGAGCTCTTGTGACACCATGTCCTTGACCAAGGCCTTGGCGGCTTCCTGGCCGCCGAAGAACGTCGCCATGGTCCGTGCCGTGACGGTGATTAGCTTGGCAGATGGGTACAGGTCATGATAGCCCTGCACGTACTTCTGGACGAGGCGCGGGGACGCATCGGCCCATGTGAATAGGACGACGGTCGTGGGCGCATTGGGGTTGGTTTGCTCCTTGTCGGGTTGCGGATCCAAGACGCGGATGTGATCGGAAAATTTCCGCAGAGAGAGTGGTGAGAGCGGTCCAGCCATGGTGATGAGTAGTGTGGTCTATCCTTCTGCAAGGTACGGAGCAGATGGGACCATATAAAGTTCGAGACCACCATTAGGGGGGTCCGTTTTCTCCATGAATTTGTTGACTTGGCGTGCTGGAGCTTTTCCCGATTAGGAAATTTCCTAATCGGGATAAAAATTGAGATCGCCCGGGATGCGCCAGGGTTCAAGGACTAGGGTTTAGTCCACAAGAACATGGCACATAAAATAGCTCATCACCCTGTCTCCGTCCTATTGCGCAGGAAATCCAAGCAAATCTCTTTTACAGAGTCGGCGTTCAAGTCGATCTCCGAGGTTGAGTCACTAAAACACCCACGTCTTTTCAAAGCGTATACAAACCCTGAAACTAACCAGAGTCGCTCGCGCCGGCGATGGATGGGTAATCCCAATCCCCCCCCTAACAGCCATGAGACGTTGAGAGCGCTGGACACTGCTTCGCTTTCTCCTAGAGAGAACAGCGCGTTTTCGAGCTCGTCGACACACTGTTGTGGGATAGAGGGCGGGTTGTCACAACTCCCCTCGTAGTCCAGAAAGACCGAGCAGAGGACCATAATACTCCCCAACTGGACACTGGCCTCGGATACATCGCCATATATGTTCGAGGCGACGGTTCCCGGTTCCTTGGCCAGGCATCGCCACAAGATGGTCGACGGCGGGAGCCGGGGAGACGTTTGCGGGTCAGAATGACCACTGGCCGCGATCAGTTGAGACACCCGATGAACAAATCCCTGCAAACACGGCTGGAGAAAATCCAGGTCACGATCGCTCCAGATAAGGCTCTCGTCCGTGGACTGAGCGAACTCAAAAGCGATCATGATGTGATGCAAGCTGGGATTCCGAATGGTTGCAGCAAGCGTGCCAATGGATCTACGATCATCCCGGAGATCGCTCAACGAGCCGCGGAGGAGTCGACGACAGGCTGCAAAATGGGATTTAACGCTACTGCGGGCAAAACGGTAGTCCAGCTGCAGAAGCCGCAGGACAATGCTGAAGCTGGCTTCCCAATCCACTGCATTGTCCTCGCGGGTTAACACGTGACCGGTGCCCTCATGGTCTGTTGGACCGCACTGGATCCAGTCCAGGAGTTCCTTCCGTGCTGAGGCAATAGCCTTTCCACGGTAGGTCAGCGCCGCGACCTGGAGATTCCCCCTTTGATCCTGGGTGGTCCAGATCTTGAGATCAATGCAGTGAAAAGCGACGCTGGCCCGGAAGATGGCATCCAGTACGGGAGACGCCCGTGACAAACAATGGGTGAGATGCGTGGGACCGGGACAGATGGCCGGGCTAACGCCCCAGGTGCTGGCGAGGTCCCGATAGAAGTGAGTGGATATTAGGTACTCGACCAGCGAGTAGCCGGACGGCGTGATCTGCGCCGGGAGTTTGGGGTCGGGGGGGTTGGGGGGTTTGGAAGCGGACCCCGAACCTCCCGGCAGGTTCGGTGGAGATGGACTCCGTCTCTGAGTGGTTCGGTGACTTCCACTTTCCTCGATCTGGTGGTTCTGTCTCCGGATCCTCGCTCGAATGCCAGCGCGGGCGAGGTGTGAACGCGCCTGCTTCCGGCCTTGGAGGGATTCCTGGCTGATGAAGATCAGGTCATGGGGAGAGGATGATTGGGTAGATGGCATAAGGACATAGTACTGCTTAGTAGGAGTAGTAGTAGTAGTAGTACGATGTAGTGTACGCCAGAGTACGAGGAGATAGAGTAGAGGCAAGAGGATGGAATGACTGAGTGGAGCTTCCATTCCCTGCCGGGTTAAGAGCCTAGTGGTGCCTGAGTGCCTGGGGCACAATCCGCATCGCGGACCCGAGCCCTCCGAGAGGGCTAACCGGATTGGGATTGGCTTCTAGTCACTGACTTACCAGGAAATAACAAGATCATTTCTTCCTCAGTCCATCTCCAAACAATACAACCAAGCCGAAGAGGACGCCACGTTCAAAGACACTCATCTGGATCACCGAACGTGTCTCTATTCTATAAGGGGGTCTGGCACATGAATACTCGAGTTGAACACTCCAGCGCGGTTTCAAGCGCCCAATTCCGGAGGGCTGCAAACTTCAAAGTCCCTACATGTGTGCACCGTTCTTGGATCGGCTAAATTGACTTGTTGTTCGTCATCCCATAGTCAATGGATTGTAGCTATGTCTGCAGAACACATGAGACTCTGTCGAATCGAGTTGATATCATGATCCATGTGTTTGTAGAATGCATCTTCCTCCGTAGGATTCTGCATATCGGATCCCATGCCGTCCATACTATGCGCCCCCAAGCAATTTTACGTAGGTGGTTCTGGAACCAATCTTTAGTAAGATGCGCTTTCATATACGGATATTCAAGAGCTATAATAGTACTCACAAGATAGTGGAACTGGTGGAAGATATCAATTCCCACAACATAATAATTTGGGCCGCGTGGGAGAGGAACAGTCCTATGGTTGACAAGTCTTGCTGCGTTCTGATCTAGGGATTTTCACGAGGGGCCCATCTGCTAACTTTAGTGCTACAACCCAACATATACTTTCAGGGTGCTGGAGGCAACAAATAGTTGTATAGGTCTGCCCGAAGCTTGCCTCTCCTAACTAATGCATGATAAAATAAGTGGGCAGCAAGAAGATTGAAAATTGTTTAGCAAGTGACTGAGTCTTGACTAGCAGTACTTTATTCAGTATATAAAATCAATGGAATCACGTCGCGTTATCTTTTTCAAAGGGGGCAGTACTCCTAGATTTACCTCAGCTGAGTGTATTTGTCAGAATAACTTGTCTTTCAGGAGTGATACTCCTATATTCAGCTCAGCTGAACATGAGTTTGCCAGAATGTAAAACAAAAAGGCAATATTAGGTTTTCAGTCATACGTGGTGCACCAACCTAAAGACCACTATCCATCTTAAAGCCCCCAAAATCATGACCAATCTCTTTGTAAACCTCCCCCTCAATCAAACAAACAAAGCCAGTAAGCATGGGGGCCAAAAGCAACCACAACAAACCACGGATCAAGGAAGTTGTTTGTTGGGGGCGGACAGACTAGGCCTGGGCCGGACCCAACGATCAATCCCCCAAGGTACGATGGCACCCCTTGACGGACCAACCACTCAGGGCTGTCACCCCGAAACTAGCCACCCCCCACTGGGTAATGATAGCCCCCCAGAAGGCGCAACGCTTAATTATAGGCCCCGGCGGTAGGGCTCAAACCCACCCGCTTCCGTCGTCTCCACCGTTCCGTGGGACCCTTCCCCTGTGCCCACTGTCCACTGCCAAGTAGATATGGAGGTAGTATACTACGTAGTACTTAGTCCATGCTCCGTACTGGTCTACTGGGAGGCGACCTCTTCGTGCTAAAATAAGGAGGGGGCCGATAATCCGGAGATTTCGGGCCTTGTAGCCTTGCATATCCTTATGTACCGATGGTATGGATGGGACAGGCATCCCAGCCCATGCATACCCGAATAGACCACTAGCTTTGTTGGTTGTTGAGACTTGGACATCGCTCGAAGCCGTCTATAGCAGTCTTTCAATTCCCACCCCCCAACTTTTAACACCTCAAGAAAAAAAAAATAAAAATAAAAATAAAAACATGAAGAAAGAAAGAAAGAAAACCAAACCAACGAGACCCGCTCGGTTAATTTAGTCTGAACACGCCATCCCGCCAATGTGTATATGTACATGATCGCCAAGAACTCCACCTCTAATATATGTCCGCGCGCGATAGTCAAGGTCCGGCTTACGGTTTATGATACCGTGGCCGAAAGTGAAAGAAATCGCGACTTAGCCTCGGCGACAAGCCGCTGGAAGGTGTCGTCCGCGGGGAACACGTTCAACATCACTCCGCAATCGAAAAGTCCTTCTGCTGCCTCCAGCGACTCCAGGATCTTTCGTTTCACATCTGAATCCATATTTGCCGGGGTGGGAACTCCAGGGCCTGGCACTGGGATGGCGAGTTGAGGGTCTATACGGGCGTTGGTCAGTCGGTCGCGTTCGGTACAGAAGAACCAATAGGGATTCATACCATAATGTGCCATCGGATACGGGGCAGCTTGGGTGGTATCTGCTGCCATACTCGTCTGCGGATAACTGGTGGAGGTGGCCGGGATATATGCATACCCCACTGTGGGTTCGGGTGTCGTCGGGTGTCCATAGAGTGGTTCTTGCACTGGTAACCCAGGAGGGGAGCGACTCGGATCGACCATCTATTCCATCAGTCAGACAAGAGCCGCCCTTGATAGGGGAAAGGGAATAAGGCGACAGCCACATACCATGGGCAACTGTGGTATACTATTGGGGTCCATGAAAGGGGTCTGGGGAGATGGCGACATCCAAGGAGAGTGTGAATCGGGTTGGGTAGTATAGATCACCCCAGCTTCGGGGGTAGACCGCGGCTGCTGTTGTGACCCCATATAGGGAGGACTGGGTGACGACTCCGACTTGGGCTCGGGACTCTGGCTCTGACTCTGTTGCGAGTTGCTTCTTCCCCTCTGGCGAGCCTTTTGACCTGTATTGCATCCTGGGTCAGCACCTGTCATAGGGCCCGGTTCGCCAACGGGGGAACATACGCCATCTGCGCTGGGCCAAGAGGTTTTGAATTCTTCGCCTTTCGTCATAATCTTGGATTTCGACGAGCTGGGTACCTTTTCTGTAGGCGTACATGGTGAAAGGAAAGAGGATGAGAGGTTGTCAGGACGAAAGTGCCTTTGGGTTGGATGTGTAGAACTTGAGCCTGTCCCGCATCGTTGAGCGAGGACGGGGCGATTATATACCATCTATACAAGATTACAGAAGGTCTAGAGAACATTCTATTCCCTCATAGACACAGTTGGCATCTGAGCCGAGAGGCTGAGAGCGTCCATGTCCAGTAATGGTTTCTGTTCATCATCTTGGCACTAAAACGGCCCTGTACTTCTTTTCTTTTTTCTTTTTTTTTTTTTCGTTTCTATTATTTTCTTTTCCCTGCTAATGACAAGGCTAATCTCAAGTTAGACCTGAAAGAACGAAATGATGGGTGATGACGATCGGGGGGGGGGCTGATCTTCGTGGGGGACATGAATGGATCCATCGTCCAACCCATAGCATGGAGTGGCTGCATGGATGGATGGAGACTGCAAGGGAACGCACAAGGCATGTCGCCCGGTGTCTGACACAGACGCGTATCGAATCGAGTCAAGTCTAAGGGAGTAACCTCCGACTAGTCAAAGAACTAGAACGTAGCGAGACGAGTAGCGATAGTGAGTTGGTCACCATGACAAATTTGCGGGTCCAGTCAGAGAGAAGAGCGACTAGGAAAGTCACGGGTCATCATTTCAATCTTCATCCTTGACCCACTTCGGCTTCATCCTAAACCTTGCCTTCGTTCCAGTCGGCTTGCTTCATATCTGCTGAGCCACACCAAGTCTATTCCGCGACGCCTTTAATTGATATTAACTACACGCTATGTGTATCTAACAATAGCATCACATTTGAAGGGAACCCCCGCTTCTGTGTCGATTCAATATCTTGAACCATTTAGAATCCGCCTTACAGGTTGGGGGCCAAGACGACCTGAGGCCACTGGGGTACCAACCTACTCCAATCCCCCTCCCCCATCCAGATAACCAAATGACGCAGATCGGCATGCTCCTTATGCTTACGGGGCATTGAGACAAATTGTGAAGAAATGATGATCACACGTCTGCTACAAAATGGATGATGTTTCGGCGGAATGATCGAGAACGAGTCAGAACCAGTCAGATACAACTCTGTTGCTTTCCAACACGACCCCAGAGGGACGTCCGTGGGCAACATGACAGGGGCCCCCACTTCAAACCCAACAACAAGAGGAGTTTCTGGGTCTCTGCATATCGCCATCCACCACTGGACCGGTTCCTCCAAGAATAACCGACAGTTGAACCTGACGATCTTTACCTAACGTGGGTCTAGTGCTGGGGCGATGAAGTCTGATGATGCTATCTATATCTTCGGATTACACTTTTGCTGGTCGGGAATTGATATCCAACGACACTAACGCACTGTAAACCACAAGCACCGCCCATCCTAGGCGCGATCGCTCGACCAGTTCTCCGCTAGTTGGCTCATCACAACGTCGCACCATGCGGAAATGAATCAGCGGCCCCCCTGGACTGGTCCGCCAAACTGGTCCGAGAGCGAGGGCGGGATGGGTGATTAAGCTATAAGCGCTAATCCGTGCGCCCTTGTCAATTGTGGAGAAGAATCTTATATATAGCAAGCTATCCAGCTTTATGGCGTGCCGGCGCTTCTGATTGGCCCGGGCTCCTCGACAGCGTCTACCCAAACAAGAAATCTAGCTTCAGACGGATATGGGCAAGTGTGGTATGACGATTATGGGTCCACCTGCCAACGTCTTTGCGACGATTTTTTGGGCCGGTATAGCTCTTGGCTGTGTAAGATTCTACATAGTATCAGATGACTGATGTTCATACCCAACATAACGAGAATTGTATGATACTCAGTTGGTTGACCGAGCGATAGCGACTCGGGCTAAGAGTTCCAGAGTACACCGACACCGACATCTTACCTATGTTGACTATTGTCTTGTGGCAACGTCTAGTGGCAGGTCGTCCTGCGATGGTTCCGGCTGTTCTCAATTCCAGTCAGCCAGGGGGCCGGGCTCTCCGGCACGTCAACGGCGGGAAACGCCGCAAAGTCAGGTTCTGGAAACTCGCCGCACGGTTGTTAGCTCAGACCGACACCCTTGGAAGGTGAGGTCATCTACAAAACAGTCATCTCTGGACCAGTCGTTCTTCAGGGGCTAGTAGAACCAACTGTCTTCCGCGCGCCTTTAGCCGATGTTACGCTGACGATCCGTAGGGGAACTAGCAGAGAAACAGATACCATGGATGCAGTCCGCGTTTCAGAAGATTACAGTAGGGCAACGATGACCAACACTCTGATCTCTGGCTGACGGGGCAAGCTAGGGGTTGGCCGACGAAGTGGCCTCGAACCACGCAGTCTATCAAATCATGGGAACCCTAGGGCCACATCATTCAGGTCTAACCCCGGGATCCCGTCAATGAGCCATTAAATGTCCTAGTCTACTCTATCGGATGGGGGCCATACAGGATAATCTCGTCTGACATTGCCATAGTAATCTCTCGAGGTATTTTCATCCACAGTAAGCAGACCGGTCGCTTAATAGGCTGAGGTATTTTCGCTGGAAGCGAGTCGAGCACCGACAGTTGGCTGTTTCGTCAAGCGAACCGTGAAGACAATCGTTAATCTGGGAACATACGCAATGAAGTCAGCCTTAGCTGACCAGTATGCCATTCTTCTTGTCTTTGCATCGTCACGGATATATGATGGTTGATACACATCATCCAGCCATCCTTCGCTTAGGTCCGCCTGGTGGCAATCTTTCGCCCCTCCTTGATGGAAGGAACAACTGGCTCTCCTGGGATGGAAGATCGTTTCTTTAACCGTCCGTCTTTCGTCGTTTCTATTCTTCCTTTCCTTTTTCTTTTTTTCTCCTAAGACTAAGGATATCGCCACGTTGGTGCCCCCCTTCTGAGTCCCAACTGCTCCCACCCTCTTCCCCCTTTCCCCCTTCCACCATGATTTCCAAATCCACATTGAGCACATACAAAGACGAAGTGCTTTGATGATTAATTCTCAGCTTCTGTTATCCATAACCATAGATGGCGTGGGGCAGAATTTCCCATCTGTTCACCGACAGTCTATCCCAACCACGCTATCATCACCTGTCGACAGAGATTTTCGGTACCCTCGCGAGCAATTTGATCTAGTGCAGTCTGATATTCTGGTTTTCTCTAGAAAAGAACTGTACGGGCATTATGAACTTACTGACATTATGGACTGTGCTAATGCTATTATAATGATTATGCATACCATGTCACCTCCGGACAAGCCCCGACTTAACGTCGACTACACGTCACGCAGATTTCGTTAATTCTGTCCTCGCGGAACATCGAAGGGTCCATTCAACGCGGCGGGGAAGGTAGGCGCGCCATTCTCACCCCAAGTGAACTTTTGCGTCCGAATGGTGCGGTAGAGATTTGCTGTATCGGTCAGCACTCACTCCATCAAGCACCCGAGGAACAAAGCAGCAAGCGAGATGAACCTGGGAGAGAAAAACGAAAGGAAAGACTTACATTTCGGCTGGTCCGTCGTCTGTGCATGATAAACCACATAATGCTCCGTCCCGTCCGGACTAACGGTGAAACTCGCGTGTCCCGTGCCATAGACCCCCGCATCGGGATTCTGCTGGAACACACAGCCCTCGCGGTGTTTGCGCCAACTACAGGGGATCATGGGGTCATCACCCACGAGCTCGAGTAGCCCGAGACAGTAGAACGGAGTGTCGACACGGGCCGCCGAGTACACGACGAAGTTCTGGCCCGTGTGGGGATTCACCAGCTGCTGGGGACCCTCGTTGGTCGCGAGCCGCACGGGTCGACCCCGGGGCACCTGCTCCCAGGGCTCGTCGGGGACGGAGATGATAGCGCGCTCGCTCAGGGTGGAGTTGATCGTCAGCGGGTCGGACATGCGCGTGATGCACAGGTTGGCGGGCCACGCGCTGTAGGTGTCCTCCCAGCAGCTGTAGATGTGGTAGATCTGATCCGCGTGATGGAAGTAGGTGCCGTCGATGGCAAACTGGTCGAAGGTGTCGAGGGTGCTCCTCAGGGCGTAGGTCGAGGCCCAGGCGTCTGGCCCCGAGCTCTCCAGCACGAACATGCGGTGGTTAACGGCGGGGCAGTTGAACGGACATTGTGCATCCTGCAGCGGCGGCGGCGCATCCTTGTCGGGAGTTGCCGTGAAGATGATGTACCATTTCTGGTTGATGTGGTGGATTTCGGGGGCCCATAACTGATGTATTGTCAGTAACTATATCTACCTTGCTCTGTATACTCTGTATACTAAGAAGATAATAAAAAAAGAAAAACCCCACATCAGTCGACCAAGGCTCCCCACTCGACGCATTAGGTTTAAAAACCACTCTAGACTCCGCAAAGTCCCAATTATCCGTCAAAGAGCGGGATCTCTTCAGCGTGATATTATCATTGGTGGTGTACGTCAAGAAGTACCAGTCTTCATGGCGGAGGACGAACCTAGTCAGTTATTAGCCTTTTCAATTCCCCAGAAAAATACAGCTCTATTCTACTAGATAAGCCATGGTCGATTGGGGAAAAGGGAGAAAAGAAAATGGGAAATACGAACGGATCACCGGCATTAACGGTACTGATCGGATTATGGTAAGAGGCGTTGTTGGTGGAGGGATCGGTGCCGACGAGGGCGAGATCGAAGGTTTGGAGATTGGCTTGGTTGGGGTCGAAGGATTGGGGGGTGGAGAGGTTGATTAGGAGGGTGCTTGCGATGAAGATGAAGGACCACATTTTTTGTCTTCCTTCCTTCTTAATGTTTACTTTGTGTTTTTTTATTGATTTGTGTGCTATGTGCTGGTGCTGTCTGGGGACAGATAGATATACCCAGGTAAATAAATCAGAAGTAAACATACCCCTCCGAGGCTGGGAACAACAAAGAAGCTCCAATAAACACGGATAAAAAATACTACATACCCCTCATTTGCACTTTCCCAATCCAACGGTCGGGGTCTCTTGGTGATTTGTTCACCGTCTGTATGCCAAGGATGGTTAATTGATCATGTGTTGTTTTGACTTTGAATTAGTGGTTGTATGATCTGTGGGGGATCTTGTTTTGACATATATCTTGCGGTGCTATGCCCTGGGATGGGTATATTGCGGGGTGTTACTGGGAGTGTGATGTGATATATATCGGAGTAATGTGTAGATTGTTACCCCAGAGATATTACCTCAGAGATAGAGATGGAGATCAAACATGCATGCCGTCAATCATTATTCATAGAACCAGATATTCTAGAAGGTAATCAATATTGATGGGCCGATGGATATCTAAAATAGTGAAGCCCGAGGCAACCACTCCCGTCTCGGCAAGAAAATAACCGACCGAAATGCGGGGATGAAAACACTATATATCCATTGGCTTTGTTCTACACCCCAAACCTTACTCTATACCAATAAATTGGTAAATATCTGTATATATACTTTACCATCATAATATCGAGCATGCCCTTCCAATCCCGCTGGCAGATTGACGTCCCCGACTGTCATCTGGCATCGCTTCTCCTCACCTCCCCCACTCATCCGCTCTCCAACTCGCACCGCTGCTTCGCCGAGGCTGCTCGCCCCGATACGCACTACTTCACTACCCATGGGTTTCGTCTCTGGAGTCAGCGGTTCGCTGCCGGGTTGCGCCGTGCCGGGTTGAAGCCCGGCGACCGCGTCTTGCTCTTCTCTGGAAATGACCTCTTCTTCCCCGTCGTCTTCATGGGCATCATCATGGCCGGTGGCATCTTTTCCGGCGCCAATCCCACCTTTGTCGCGGGTGAGCTGGCCTACCAGCTGCAGGACAGCGGTGCGACCTACCTGCTTTGCGCAGACGCCAGTCTAGACACGGGCATCGAGGCGGCCCGCTTGGCGGGACTCCCCCAAGACCGCGTGTTTGTCTTCGACAATGCGGTGTACGACGGGCGGGCCGAAGGTCGCCTGGGATGTCGCCACTGGGGTGAGCTCATCGCGTCCGAGAGCGAAGCGACTGGGTTCGCGTGGGAGGAGCTGTCCACGCCCGAGGCAGCCCGCCGCACGCTGGCCCTCAATTACTCGAGTGGCACGACAGGACGGCCCAAGGGCGTGGAGATCTCGCACAAAAACTATTGCGCGAACATGCTGCAGTGGAACCATCTCTTCTACCAGGATCCGGACTGGAAGGAGAGGCAAAGCCGCTCTCGCTGGCTGTGCTTTCTGCCCATGTATCACGCCATGGCACAGAGTATCTTCATTGCTGCGGCCATCTCGCGCAGCGTACCTGTGTACATAATGCCTAAGTTCGATTTTATCAAGATGCTCGAGTATACCGACCGGTTTCGCATCTCGGATCTCATCCTCGTGCCCCCTGTTGTGGTGGCGTTGGCGAAGCATCCCGTGGTCAGGAGCGGTAAGTATGATTTGAGTAGCGTTGAGTCTGTCGGTAGTGGGGCGGCCCCTCTTGGACGCGAGGTCTGCGAGGAGGTCGAGAAGCTGTGGGAGCCAGGACGGATCAATGTCAAGCAGGGATGGGGAATGACGGAGTATGTTGAGCCCCGATCGATGATCTTGGCGACCCCCGGATACTAAATAAAACAGAGCGACATGTTCGATCCTCGGATGGGACCCCACCCAAAAGAGCTACACTGCTTCGGTGGGGGAGCTTAACGCCAACTGCGAAGCGAGAATCATGGCCGATGACGGAGTGACCGAGTTGGGGCGTAACGAGCGCGGCGAGCTCTGGGTTCGCGGCCCCAACGTTATGAAAGGATACTGGCGCAATCCACAAGCCACGCAGGAGACTTTGACCGAGGACGGGTGGCTGAAGACGGGCGATATCGCCTACGTCTCCACCGATGGCAAGTTCCATGTGGTTGACCGGAAGAAGGTACTTGACTCTACGTGACCGGGAAGTCGATGAGTAGAGACTAACAGACCCAGGAATTGATCAAAGTGAAAGGCAATCAAGTCGCCCCGGCCGAACTGGAAGCCATCCTGTTGGAGCATCCCGCTATTGCTGATGTTGCCGTCATCGGCGTTACTGTGTAAGTTGCCTACCTATCCGAAATGAGGCCGATCGTTTAATTGGTACTAACAATCGGTAACAGGAACGATGACGAACGGCCCCGAGCATATGTTGTACTGAATCCCGGAAAGACCGCCACGGCGCAGGACATCACCTCGTTCATGGACGGAAAAGTCTCATGGATCAAGCGCATCACGGGCGGCGTTGTCTTCCTCGATGCGATCCCGAAGAATCCCTCCGGAAAGATCCTGCGGAAGACACTTCGCGACAAGGCACAGAAGGAGATTCAGCAGAACACTGGTGATGTCCGGGCCAAACTATAGATCCAACGTACAGCCATCATAAAGATTATTTGGAGGCCCTTCAAGTTTTTCAAGGGATGAAGCTATACACTGTTTGAACTCTGGCGGATCAATGTGGGGTATGGATTCGAGCATATAGATCGCGATCGTATTAACCCATAAATTCAGTAAAGTATGTGAGATGCGTAAGAAGGTTCAAGATTCCAGATTGCCAGTAAGAACCAGGATCTGCTTTTTGGGCAGGTGAGGGGCCAAGTGTTTGTCGATTAGGTTGCATTTACTGGCATGAGAGCTCTTCACCAATCAAAAATTATGAAAATGTCTAACCGGTAAACAATGGGTGCTACCATGGTCCAGGTAGCGGTGAACACCGAGAACCTGTAGGATACTCTAGCCTATTGACTAGTGGTAGGCCTCTAGTACTGGGTCCCATTAGTTATACCAAGCAAATGTCGAGAAAAGTCAACCTGAGGACAATCGTGCTCGATGACTTGCCACTACTCGGCTGATCAAAGAATTTTTTGCTTTCATACGGAACGTAAAATTTCTCCCAGAGGTGTCACTTGCCATCGAATGAAACTTCATGGATCTTCCCTTGCGTCGTGGATGGACAGCGCTGCGAACACCCAGGGCATGCCCACTAGAGCGACAGCATCTGCGGGGCAAAAAAGGATCAGACTCGAAAATCTGGACGGAATTTGGAATTCCCATCGTCCATATTAGAGTTTTGCGCTGATCGACAGGCTGCATGGGGGCGACCCGGTTATTTGGTTCTGGGAGGGGGAGGGATGGCATAGACCAGTAGTTAATCACGATCAGAGGGCGATTCTATACTGTGATAAGTTAGATCTGATCAATTCGTTCTCTCAGCCCGATCATCGGTATTTGTCACGGCGCCCGAGAGATGCACGGTTCTCACCGCCACGTAGGCGAATTGCATCTCGTTGGATGGCAAGGAACCCACGACTCGGTCGAGTGAATTGGCGTTCGAGTGGTGGGAATGATGGAGATGATGCGATCATCGGTCTGGGCATCGAAAGTCCGTGTATGGCCGAGGTGGAGATGGATGGTCGACTATTTAGACAATGGCGAGCTGATGGCAAGCATGTCCCCACCAAGTCCGATCGGACTGTCGAAACTTTGACTGCCGAACAGCAGCGGGAGTAGAGACGGATCTGCAAGCAGGGAGAGACGACGGGGACGTGTCGATCCGGACATCTTGGCTGACTGAATAATTGAGGGGAAAAGAGAGAAGAATTGAATGGGTTGATTGAGATTGGAGATATTCGGGATGGAAAAGTCCAGTGATCGGGAGTCACGGGACTTGCCCTTGTTTATTCTTCAATTGTTTCTCATCCGGAACTTCATCCATGCCAGCTTGGATTCTCTTCCATCCGAATCAAAACAAGGATATCTACCTATCATGAAGAGCGATCGATCTCACTGATCGAGCCTCATCGGACCACCCCTTAGGGATCCCATCCAGTCAGCCAGCCTTACATTAGACCGGGACCCGCTAAACCCCGTCTAACGAACTAGCGGGAGCCTGCGAGGGTCGATGGCGGTGGCGCATGCATTCCACAGCTGAACTACTTGGACTTCGACGTTTTTTTCCGACCCCCGGCCCCGCCCCGGTCCTATAATATTGGATGATATGATAGATGGTGGTGCACTCGTGGATCCCCTGTAGCGCAGCAGGACTCGTGGCTGATCAGGGCCCAGCTGGACTGGGAGGGGGCGCGCGCCATAGGCCCTCCTCCCTCTTCATACTAGGATTGTAGACTATTCCCTCAAACGGATGGGGTTTCACACTGTAGGATCTTCCATTGTCTCCGCATGGTGGGGGGTCTTGGTTCCCTTGGGTTTTTAGTGTAAAGAAAAGTGAAATTCCCTGCGGGTCACAAGAGGCGCAAGTTGATGTCTTTTCGTGGTCTGGGGCCCTGTTTTAATCTGCCAATGAGTTTATAAACCTACCTAACGGTCGTTTCCTCTTCCCTAATCTCGTTTGGTAAGGAAACGCAGACGATTTCTTTGTGCGATTGCTCCCTGGTTCGGATCCTTGCTACCTCCATTAAGCTCTTAAGACATACATATACCAACGGGACCATACAACACATTGATCTCTCCCGAGCATCGAAAGTGTCACTATCGCCATCACCATTGCTATTCTGCTCAGGGATCTACTGCTGCATCGCTACCACGACTTATAAACCGATTCCATTACGGCCTGATAGGCAGTTGAGATCTCTCTCCAACGCGCAGGAGACCAACGGCGATGGGCCGTGAGCATGGTGACTGTGTCCCATCTTCCACTATTCAGAGTTTCACACACGGGGTCCTCTATCCAGCGCTCTGCGTGATTGGCATTGTCCTTCTCGCGCGACGAATCAGACACCACCGACAGCGGAAGTACCAGCTTCCCGAGCGGCGACAGGACTCAATACGATCCACATCTCTCGCAGAAAAGTCCGGTGGCGACATGTCTGCAGGCCAGGGAGCAGCGGCGCCCTACATCAGGGACCCTTCCCACGACGTGGTGACGACGACGGCGGCGGCGACATCATCCTTGCCGTCTGCCTGTGATATCCTCCAACCCCTGTCTCAGTTGACCCCACTGCCCTCCAGTGGCCATCTCGCGGCCATTCTAGGCCGCGCGAAACAGCCCACGCATCCTGCGAACAAGAAGCCAACAGGTGGCCCCGGCGGCGATCCTGGCGCCAGCGCGGGTCCGAGTAGTGACTACTCGAGACCGTCGACCTCAGAGACCCAAGCCAGTGACCTGTCTGGCGGCGGGAGTGATCAATCAAGCTACTCTGGGACCAGGGATTCGCTACCGCCGATGGCGCCTACACCGACTGAGTGGCGGCCCGTGGAAAGCCCAGCAGGTTACTACTCCTCCTCCCACGACGACCACTTCGATGGGTCAGAGCTATCGGGCGAGCCAGTAGGCCCGCGGCCGCCAGTGCAGAAGAGTGGCCAAGTTGCTCAGCTACTCCATGATGCTGATGAGGAAGGCGTGCGGACATGGAGACGGCTGATGGTCGAGTATAGCTGAAAGTGGATGACGAGCTGTCCAATGAGCCGATGCGGGATGGATCCTTCGTCCTTCTAGGTTTGTTCCATTCCTTTTCCTGCTTCCCAGGCCCTTTAGGTTCTTTTTCCTTTTTCTCTCAGTTCATTTACGATTCCATTTTTTTTTCTGTCTCCCTCTTTGCTTTCGTTCTTTCTGTTTTTCCCTCGCCTTTTCCCTGTTCTTCCGTGTTATCCTCTTTCGTGCTCTTTTTTTCGGGTGGGGATTTGACATGAGACTACCTATTTTGGTGTTGGGCTATGGTCTGGTGGCGGAGATGAGGTAGGCAGACATAGTACTGGATTGGTACTTGGTCGCGCCGATATTATGTATGCCGATGATAGTATGATTCTAATGATTGCGCCATCACTTACTGTTCACTTACGTTCAATGTTCAAACTACAATACAATTACTTGCTCTAATATACGGACTTCACAACTAAATATGCACCACTATGTCCATAAAGTATTCAGCTGAGTCATCATCATCAATCGATACGGATCTAACCCAATGCGGTAAAAACGTACTTCATCATCATTGGACTCGGTCCGTCCAGCATGATGATGCCCAACTGTCTCCCTCTCGCTCTCTCTTCCCCTCTTACGTCCCTCTCATGATACCCTCACGACATCAGCATACTCTAGGAGAACCGCCAAAATGACACTCACCACATATCCCGTCTCCGCCGCAGACTCGCCCGATCTGACCGCGCTCTCCTTATCGCGCCTCGTGCACCGCCTCGAGCTCAATCTTCTGGTCCCAAGCGCGGATCTCTCTCCGCTACGCCAGTCGGAGTATCAGCGCATGCGAGTTGGTGCTGTACGTTATTCTCTTTCCTATCGTATCCCCGCGAAACTCGCGCTCCCCTGGAGCATATACAGAGAGACACAAAAAGCCACAGAGATAGCCATCTCCAAACAGCTACCAAACCAAGATAGAACCCATCTAACAGAAACCAGAACATAGCATTCGCGCAATCAACCCTCACTTCACTCGAACGCGCCCTCCCAACGATAAAAGCCCCCGACCACCGCAACGACCTCCAGACAGACCTCCTGCTCTACCGCCAAACCATCAAGAAACTGCAAGCTGTCCTCGACGAGATCACCGCCGAGGCGGAGACCCTCCGGTCTGCTAGTCGCGGTGCTGCTGGCCAGGATGAAGGAGACGATGAATCGGAGTCTGAGTCGCTGGATGGTGAGGATCTCTTGACGCCTGATGAGGGGAGTAGTACCTCTGGGGAGGGGGGGAGGGGAGGATTAGATGAGGAGGGTGGTGATCCTTCAGCTACTGCTACGACAACGTCCGATATCCCAACAGCTACACCACAACCACCGCAAGCAACGACAACAACACAACCAACCAACCCAGAACAACCACAAACAGCACCCCCAACCCTCCGAAACAGATCCCACCTTCCCCCATCATCATCATCAACAACAGCCCCCACAACCCCCACAGCAACAACAACAGGAGCCAGAACAGGAACAGACCTCTTCCCCCTCCCCCACACCCTCCCACACGCCCAAACCGACCCAACCCCCTCATCAACCTCCCAAACAGAATCCCAACTCACAACAGACCGCACCACCCAAGAAGACCTCACCACCTCCCTCCTCTCCCTCGCCAGCCAGCTGAAATCCTCCTCCCACGCCTTCCACGCCTCCCTCGAGTCCGAGAAATCCGTACTCGCCCGCGCCGTCGACGGCCTCGACCGCTCCACGGGCTCCATGGGCGCCGCCGAGCGCCGCATGGGCACCCTGCGCCGGATGACGGAGGGGAAGGGGTGGTGGGGGAGGATGATGCTTTATGCGTGGATCTTTGGACTGTGGTTGTTGGCTGTTTTGATTGTGTTTTTGGGGCCGAAGTTGAGGTTTTAACTTTACATATTTTATCTAGTATCTTTAGCGGTAGCTTGACTTTTTTATATATTTAACTTTTTTTTTTTTTTTTTTTTTT